GGGAATGGAAAGGAAATGGAAAGGAAATGGACATGGAAAGGACATAGAAAGGAAATGGAAAGGGGCAGGCTCCGTAATTGATTTCATACAAACTTTATCAGCAGGCACAAACTTTCCCTTTCCTTTCCACGTCCTTTCCATTACCTTTGCCTTTCCATTTCCTTCAAATTTCCTTTCTATTTCCTCCATGTCCTTTCGATGTCCCTCTAGTTTCCTTTCCATTTCCTTTCCATTTGTTTTCCTTTTCTATTTCCTTTCCACTTCCTTTCCTTTTCCTTTTCATTTGGGCTTCAACGTGCCTGGAATCCAGCCGGGGCAGGCTCCGTAATGGATTCTATACAAAACGGTATCGGCGGCGAGCCCCGGCTTGCCAAGCACAAGCGTTCCCTTTCCTGTCCATTTCTTGGTCGTTGTTGATTGTTTTTGCGAGTTGTTGATTGTTTTTGCGAGTTGTTGATTGCTTTTGTTTGTTGTTGATTGTTTTTGTTTGTTGTTGATTGTTTTTTGTTGTTGGTTCACCGCCCTTGTCTGAGCGTCCAATGATGAGAAACAAATATATAGGAAAGCATGATTGGTTTTCTAGCTATTGTTTCCAACTTGGAAAGCCAGCTATTGTTTCTATCAAGTATTCTGATTAATTGTGAGATAAGTATACGGCTACTGGCAGGGTCAACCAGGTTAGGAATAAAAAAGGCATAAAAAGGACATGGAAGGAATAGCAAAGAAACGGAAAGAAATGGAAATTGAAATGAGCAGCGTCCAAAACCTCCGTGTACATGTTTAGTAAGAGTCATGTCATATCGACCAGCGCGAAAAGAAAAACTTCACACGCGTAAGGTGGCGTAAGCTGGTGGTGTAAGCAGAATGATACGACATAGCAATGCATGACACGTTTAGGACCTGGCTCAAATGGAATGGGCATGGAATGGACATGGAAAGGAATGGACATGGAAAGGAATGAAAAGCAAGGAAAGCAAACTGGACGCTTCAAACTCTGTTCAGGGAGATTACAACAAACGCACTTTTCTGGCTTGGTTGGCCTTGATCACTTTATTAGAGAGGAGCGAAAAGGAATGGAAAAGAAATGAAAACACAAAAAAGGAAAGAAAATGAAAGAAGTGGAAACAAATTGGAAAGGAAATAAAATAGGACAATAACTAGACAGAAATACACGAAATAGAAATAAAGAAATGGAATTGAAGTGAAATGGACATGGAGCACACATGGAAAGGAATGGAAAGGGACGGAAAGATATAGGCAAAAAATATCAGGAAATGGACATGAAACTCGCCGCGTCCAAATTCTTGGCACGGGAAATTGCGAAACGAGCACGTGTTTGGCCCGGGCTGGCCTTGGGCACTTCTAGCTAGGAATGGAACGGAAAGAAATGGAATTAACATGCAATTGACATGGAATGGAAATGGAAAGGAATGACGGGGAGGGAAAGGAAACTCGCCTCTTCAAGACTCTTTGGAGGGACATCGCAAAATGAGCATTTCCTTTCTTCCTCCGTTTTTTACCAAGGATATAGGCAACAGATCCCAAGAGCTGATATTAAAGCAAGTATCCATCGCTTCGCTAGCTGTCACAACCTTACGAATGAAGAAGAAGGAATTCCTAATTTATAAATCTAATGTCTCTATATCCCTTTTCATGCCAGTAAAACAGATTTAAGATTTGGAGAAGGAAGGACAGATAGGTGACTAGGAGATCCTCTATACAAGCCTGATAAATGCGACCGCAGATATCCAAACATAGATTTAATACGTTGTAGATCCAGGTCTTAAGCCGCTGTGTAGAATCTCACACACATTGTTGTATATTTATTACTCCCAGGGTCATTGCTGATTCGAGAGACCCCTCACACCTGTTCAGACTCTGACGCTTTTACCCGCTACGCGCTTTCCAAAAGAGTAAAGATGAACAATGCGCTTTGTTCATTCTTACTCCCAGGGTCATTGCTGATTCGAGAGACCCCTCACACCTGTTCAGACTCTGACGCTTTTACCCGCTACGCGCTTCCCAAAAGAGTAAAGATGAACAATGCGCTTTGTTCATTCTTACTCCCAGGGCCATTGCTGATTCGAGAGACCCCTCGCACCTGTTCAGACTCTGACGCTTTTACCCGCTACGCGCTTTCCAAAAGAGTAAAGATGAACAATGCGCTTTGTTCATTCTTACTCCCAGGGCCATTGCTGATTCGAGAGACCCCTCGCACCTGTTCAGACTCTGACGCTTTTACCCGCTACGCGCTTCCCAAAACAGTAAAGATGAACAATGCGCTTTGTTCATTCGTACTCCCATGGCCATTGCTGATTCGAGAGACCCCTCACACCTGTTCAGACTCTGACGCTTTCACCCGCTACGCGCTTTCCAAAAGAGTAAAGATGAACAATGCGCTTTGTTCATTCTTACTCCCAGGGTCATTGCTGATTCGAGAGACCCCTCACACCTGTTCAGACTCTGACGCTTTTACCCGCTACGCGCTTCCCAAAAGAGTAAAGATGAACAATGCGCTTTGTTCATTCTTACTCCCAGGGCCATTGCTGATTCGAGAGACCCCTCGCACCTGTTCAGACTCTGACGCTTTTACCCGCTACGCGCTTCCCAAAACAGTAAAGATGAACAATGCGCTTTGTTCATTCGTACTCCCATGGCCATTGCTGATTCGAGAGACCCCTCACACCTGTTCAGACTCTGACGCTTTCACCCGCTACGCGCTTTCCAAAAGAGTAAAGATGAACAATGCGCTTTGTTCATTCTTACTCCCAGGGTCATTGCTGATTCGAGAGACCCCTCACACCTGTTCAGACTCTGATGCTTTTCACCCGCTACGCGCTTTCCAAAAGAGTAAAGATGAACAATGCGCTTTGTTCTTACTCCCAGGGCCATTCCCGATTCGAGAGACCCCTCGCACCTGTTCAGACTCTGACGCTTTTACCCGCTACGCGCTTCCCAAAAGAGTAAAGAGGAACAATGCGCTTTGTTCATTCTTACTCCCAGGACCATTGCTGATTCGAGAGAACCCTCGCACCTGTTCAGACTCTGACGCTTTTACCCGCTACGCGCTTCCCAAAAGAGTAAAGAGGAACAAGGCGCTTTGTTCATTCTTACTCCCAGGGCCATTGCTGATTCGAGAGACCCCTCGCACCTGTTCAGACTCTGACGCTTTTACCCGCTACGCGCTTTCCAAAAGAGTAAAGATGAACAAGGCGCTTTGTTCATTCTTACTCCCAGGGCCATTGCTGATTCGAGAGACCCCTCGCACCTGTTCAGACTCTGACGCTTTTACCCGCTACGCGCTTTCCAAAAGAGTAAAGAGGAACAATGCGCTTTGTTCATTCTTACTCCCAGGACCATTGCTGATTCGAGAGAACCCTCGCACCTGTTCAGACTCTGACGCTTTTACCCGCTACGCGCTTCCCCAAAAAGAAAGAGATGAACAAGGCGCTTTGTTCATTCTTACTCCCAGGGCCATTGCTGATTCGAGAGACCCCTCGCACCTGTTCAGACTCTGACGCTTTTACCCGCTACGCGCTTTCCAAAAGAGTAAAGATGAACAATGCGCTTTGTTCATTCTTACTCCAGGGCCCTATTTCGAGGAAGAAGACCTCGTCTGTTTCGCTTCTTACACCCCTTTGCTTCCCAAAAGAGTAAAGAAACAATGCGCTTTGTTCATTCTTACTCCCAGGACCATTGCTGATTCGAGAGAACCCTCGCACCTGTTCAGACTCTGACGCTTTTACCCGCTACGCGCTTCCCAAAAGAGTAAAGATGAACAATGCGCTTTGTTCATTCTTACTCCCAGGACCATTGCTGATTCGAGAGAACCCTCGCACCTGTTCAGACTCTGACGCTTTTACCCGCTACGCGCTTTCCAAAAGAGTAAAGAGGAACAATGCGCTTTGTTCATTCTTACTCCCAGGACCATTGCTGATTCGAGAGAACCCTCGCACCTGTTCAGACTCTGACGCTTTTACCCGCTATTCCCAAAAGAGTAAAGATGACAAGGCGCTTTGTTCATTCTTACTCCCAGGGCCATTGCCCTCGAGAGACCCCTCGCACCTGTTCAGACTCTGACGCTTTTACCCGCTACGCGCTTTCCAAAAGAGTAAAGATGAACAATGCGCTTTGTTCATTCTTACTCCCAGGGCCATTGCTGATTCGAGAGACCCCTCGCACCTGTTCAGACTCTGACGCTTTTACCCGCTACGCGCTTCCCAAAAGAGTAAAGATGAACAATGCGCTTTGTTCATTCTTACTCCCAGGGCCATTGCTGATTCGAGAGACCCCTCGCACCTGTTCAGACTCTGACGCTTTTACCCGCTACGCGCTTCCCAAAAGAGTAAAGACGAACAATGCGCTTTCTTCATTCTTAACCCCAGGGAGTTGAGGAGACCCCGGGCCCCTGACACCTCTTGAAACACTGAAGGTTTTACCCACTGCGCGCTTCGCAAAAGATTAAAGATGAACAATGGGCTTTGTTCACTCTTCAACTCCTGCTTCTCTGCTCGGAAGCAGTGTTGATTAGCGGGTTCCGGATTGCGTGGTTTACGGATTAGTTCATGCGGCTTGCTGGCTGCAGCTTATTCCGTGCTAATGTGACGAAGATGTGAACTGGCTTGAAGCACTCAAATGTTCTCATAGTACAGTTCAGAAATGCTGTGGCGCACAGCGAAGTCCAAGGATGAGCCAGATGCGCACCCGGAGGGCGAACCGGTCAACCCCAACAGAAGTGGACGCACTCGACGTAAAATACCGGTGGGCTTAATCACCATTCACAAGCGGCGTAATCATTGTTCTGGTTTGTGGTCTGCTTGAACATCAGCACAGCCCATAATACGCACGCAAAACCAACGCAGCCCATAATTGCGTTGGTTTCAGCCCACAATTGCGTTGGTTTCGCCCTGAAGTAGTGCTCGATGGGGATACTTGGAGGCATTTCTGTGTAACTGTCAGACGTGAAACCCTTGGATTTCTTCAAGACAGACTGCTGCGACAGCCATTAGCTGCAGCCCCACTTTGAACAGCCATCAGACCTTGGATGGCCATGGCTGCGCCGTGACGGAGGCGAGACTTTGTTGGGCTAGAGTAGCAACGTGGCTGTGCTTCGTTGCAGTTGCATCAGTCCTTTGCAGGTCTGTATCACGCAGTTCTTTGTCCCTGCTTTTCTCTTCTTTGACCTGCCAGGTTATGCTGTACATTTTCGTATGTCGCGGAACGCGCTACCGCTGTGAGATTGCTGAGCCGGATGTTCGTGTTCCTTTTCTTTGCTTCCTCTTGCATCGTTACCCTGCAGTGGCGGAAGAGAAGCTGTCCCAGGCAGAATTTGGATACATTTGGCACAGCGTGAAGCTGCACATTTCGGATCCATCCTCTCTCAAAACGCACATGCTCATAACTGGGAGTGTCCGTGGCATTCGTTTCCGCTGGTCTGTGCGCCCTGAAGACTACATGGCCGCCACTGCCCAATGCTTCTTTGCTGAAGCATGCTGCGCAGCTTCTCCATGGCCTGTACCAGAGGTGCGTGCGCGAATGACTGCTGCTATGGCCAGCTTCGATCTTTGCTAGAATCACGGCGCCCACTGCGCTGCCATTCCTGGGTGCACACTTCCCACTTTTGCAGGAGCTGTGTGCTTTGAACGAGGACATGCCTGGCGTGCTTTCACACTGTTGGACGGCTTGGCTGGACCACGCCTCGTTATCCCCTCTACCTGCTGCTGTCCCTGTTCGCATCTCACTTCAGGCGCAGCCTCTCTGCGTTGTTTCAGTTCCGGCTGCTGTGCACCTGCATGCCTTGCTTTGCGTGCGAGAGGCTGTTGCTGCTGGAGTCTCAGTGGCGCGCGAGTCTCTGACATCCTTGCCTCGCTCTTTGCGAGATGCTGCTCGCGCTCGCTTGCCTGCCAGCTGCCCTCAACTTCGACTGGACAACCGAGCTGCTCGCGAGCCAAGGCTATTTGTCAGACCTTCTTGCCCGTGAGCTCCGACGAGCGTCCGGGAACTCTGAAGCTGCCCTGGTGTCCTTTCTGCGTGTTTTCAGCTGATGAAGTGGAAGAACTTGACTTGCATCTTTCCCAGCACGTCGGACCCAACGTGCGAGATGCTGTTCTGGCAGCTGCAGAGTACGCATGGCCTTCGGCTGTTCCGGCATGGCTACAAGCAGCTTGCATGCGGCGATCGTGCCGTGCTGAGCGTCTGCTGCTCCTTCTGTTGCACTGCGCGCACTTCGTCTTTCCCCCGCAGACTTGGTGCACTTTCATCAACTTTTCTCTGCCCGCGTTTACTTCGAAAGAGTGCAGCAGTCTCAGTCGCACATTGCTCTTCCATTTGTTGGCTTGCCTTGGGAAGCACTTTTCCAAAGTTGCCACCATTCCCCCTGTGTCTTCAATATCTAGTGGATGCGGCCGCCACGGACTCATGGGTGCTTCATGTTTCGACTCCTTTGGTCTGCCGGGTTGAGAGCGCGGCCAGTTCCTCTCTATCTATGCTATCTTGTTCTTGCTTCCCTCGTGCGGCTGCGCTCCCAAGCCTTGCGCTTGCCAGTGTGGCTAGCGAGTTAAGCTCCTTGACTGAAGGGCTCTTCGTTTCTCGTGGCTTTACCGTCCGCACATTGAAGCCTTTGCAGCGTGGTGACCCAGAGGCACGTCATGGCTTGACAGGCAGCACCATTGCTTTCCCTGGAGGACGGCTCCGAGCTGCTTCAGCAGTTACCTCCCAGTCCTGCCTTTGTTTCTGAGTTCCTTCTTGTTTCGTTTTGTGACGTGAACTTTGTGTGTCTTACCCGTCACCGTGATCTTTGCGCTGGCTTCGTTTGCACAACCCTTGCTACGCCGACATTGCCATCCGTGTCAGTGCCTTGGAAGCTCTGCCGGACGGTGTGCAACCCGACCTGCTTGCTTCTTGCACTCAGCTCTCCGTCTGGGAGGGGTGAGGCCTCCTTGGAGGCGGCTGACGCGGAGATGCTTGGACCTGTGCTGCCATGGACTTGTCCGGAAGCGACATTGCTCCTCAGCTTTGGCGTGCCTTGCATTGCGAGCAAGTGGTGGCTACCTTGCAACCTCAAGAAATTGCGCCAGCGCTGCAGCTGCCCTTAGCTGCTTCGAGTGGCCACCCCCTTCACGTTCATTTGCCGCACGGGAATGTTCCGCTTGACTCATTTGCTGCATCGTGTTGGTCTTACTGCCCGCACTTGTTCCCTGGGCTTGGTGCTGACGAGCTCCAGCGGCCAGTGCCTCTCAGGGACACGTCCGAGCAGACCATTCCGCCCCACGCTGGAGTCGTGATTTGGTGTTCCTGGCAGTGCTGTCAGCGCCCTTCGACGCGCCCTGCGGTCCATTCCACTGTGGAGCCCTGCAGTTGATGCCATGAAGGCCCTTTTGCGTATGCGCCTTGTCGAAGGTCTTGTCCCCACTGACTCACGCCTTGAGATGCGCCAGCTCGTTGCTCTGCATTTTTGGTGCGGACTGCCCGCAATTGTTCTCACCGTCAACCCTGCGCACGTGCGCCACCCCTTCACCTTGTATTTTTCTACACCAGCTGGATTGGAGACATTGGTGCCGCCGGCTGCCTCCGATGTTGATGTGGCTACCACTCTGCAACACAAGCAATTGGCCAAGCTCATTGCTCGCGACCCTGTTGCTGCTGTTCGCGCTTTTCATCAGCATTTGCGCCTGCTGTTTCATTCCTTGCTTGGCTGTGCCGCTTCGTCTCACGAGCTTCCTGCTGATGGTGTTGCTTCTTTCAGGCAAGGCCGATTCATGCTGCGTTTGGCGTCATTGGGAAGGGGCTCCTTACACAGCTGCTTTACATGTATGGCTGTCGTTCCCCGGAAGAGATGCTGCAAAGGTCGTCCAACTCTTGGCAGGAATTATTGACACTGTTCTCCGTACTAGCGTTGAGGCTGCCTCCACCCTGTTTGGTGATGCCACCTGTGCTGCTTTGCAACAGTTGCCCCCTCTGCCTTTTTCAAAGATCAAGAACACATCCTCAGCGAGCTGATGCCCCAGTACTTAACACGAGCTCGTTCTGCATGGCAAGCGGCTTCTGAGCGCGGCGGCTCCACTGTCTTTGCTCAGCCGGCCGATCCTTTCCTTGACGCTGAAACATTTTGCGGGCCTTTTGCTCGGATTCGCTTGCAGCCGCTTGCGGCAGATGCTTTTTCGTCGCAGTTTCGCAAAGCTCTATGACGTGCGACAAAGTTGTCTCCACAATGCTTTGCATGCTTGCCGTCCTGCTTCTTGCTTCAAGCACGCGCGCCCGTAGTGTCGCATCGCTTCTGGCATTGGCTTGACTGCAGCACAGTTGCCTCTCCACGCACGTGCCTGGCAAGGAGTTGACCTCTCAGTGACTCAGCGCGCTGTCAGCTCTAGGATTTCTGACTATACCCACTATGTGACTGCGTATGCAGGGAAAGTGCAGCCCAAAGTGGCTAACCTGTGGCAGCATTTGCAAACCTCGGTCCAACGCCTGGATGAAGAATTGTTGGGTGCTGACGCAGAGGACGCTGCAGCTCACGAGCCGCAGTTTCGTGCCCGTCGTCTGCTGATGCGACTGGCCACAGCTTGTCACACACGGCGCCATCGATCCATGCAAGAAATGGTCAACTTCCTCTTGGAAGAACCTGAAACATACTCTACCCAATTGTTTTGCCGTTTGTACATCGCCGCGCTGCAAACTGCTGCGCTTGCCTTGGAGGAGCCGGTTACTGTCGGCCAAGCTCCTGCGCAGCCCCTTGTCACAGCCATAGTTGTGCCTGCTGCTGCAGCACAGCCTGCTTTTCCAATTGCTCCGACACATGCGACTCGGCTATCCTTCTCCTCTCAAATGCTGGACTATCATCGCGCACCGGTGTTGTCGTCTTGGCCTTGGTATTTTTACGCAGCGGCAGTAGTTCGTGTGCCAGCAGCGGCTCTTGCTGACGATGATGTCCTGCCCTTTGCTGCAGCCACCCCCAGCAACGTCAGTCGGCGCAGCGCGTAGTGCCGGCCTCTGCCTAGCGTGTCCCTCTGCTTATCGGTCTAGCTGCAGATGCTGAGCGACACTCACTCATGCTCCTGGTTTTGCTGCGTCCGTGGGCTGCAGATCCTGCATCTGTACGGCAAGCAGATGACTGGGCTCACTGGGCTCTTCCACTCACTGCCGCGCCTGCCCAACTGCATGTCAACCCAGACGCAGCCGCAGGCCATTGTGACAGTGTTGAAATCCCTTGCTGGTTTGACGCTTGTAGCGATCCAGATGACACGCTTGATGCTTCTGACTCTGAAGAAGCATCAATGTCGCATGGATCCATGGGTGCGTCTTGAAGAGGGGCGAACATTCTAGCCATCGTGCAGCTCACATTTTCCGGCTAACTCCTGAGTCCTTGTTTGCCTAGGCGCGCGGTGCCTTAGCTCTAGCTGCGCCCGACCCTTTCCATCGCTCTTTTCTGAGGCTTTTCGACTCGCACTTTCAAGCTGCCAGCCCGTGCCATATCGCTTCTCCGTCTCCACCTGCCTTTGCTAGTTTCCCAACATTGTCCGCGTCTGATTGGCAGGGCTTGGGTCGCGCAGCCAGAGATTGGACTTTTGCAGAGCAGTCCCAACAGCATGCCAATCCAGTGCCTGAGCTTGGCCTCCTGAGCCAGTGCCCTTGCAAACAACTCAACGTGCAGGCCTCGCTTATGTGTGGAATCCTATCAAACAAAATGCCTGCAACACTTGCGAGCAAACCATCAACCACAAGCAAGCGGCATATCAGCTTGTTGCTGGCTGCGTCACGCATTCTCTCCTTTCTGAACAGGCATCCAGCCACTCCCAGCGTATCGGCTTGATGTTGATCGCTGGCCCTGGAAGTGGCAAAAGCCACATGCTAAATCTCAGCAAGCAGCTGGGACACAGCATGCTGCCAGATTCTGTTGTGTCCACTGCTTTCATGCATTCTGCCAGTTGGCTCATTGGAGGCATCACGTTCCACACTGCGCTGAACTTGCAAGTTGACCTGCGCAGAGCTCCCGGGCGAGCTGCCTGTGAAGCAAACCTTGCTCGCTGGCGAAACAAGCGTGCTTTGCGCATTGACAAAATTTCAATGCTGCCTGCGGAGCTCTTACATACAGCCATCGATGCAGCGGTGCGCTATCCAACATACTTCACGAGATGACTCATCGTCACAGGCTGTCTGATGCAAGCTGGGGCGCCTTGCAAGAGCGCACTCTCTCTCACCTGCGCTCAAGAGGCGCGTGAAGATTATCTCAAGCCTGCCTTTCAGTGCTCGAACTGCTTGGTCGGGGTGCTCCGCCATAAAATTCGCACCTCTGCCACCTACCATCGCGCTGCTTCTTCCACGGCCCAGCAGGGGCAGCAGCTGTTTGCGGCTGTAGCTGCTGATCGTTGCACTAATCTGCCTCTGCATGTTACGTACCAGCAATTAGCGGAAGTGCACAGTTTGTCCGCCACAGGCCATCTATCTAACTTGCTGCACTTGCACTTGTCCGCGCCAGTGTTGCTCGAGGACAAGCTCTCAGCAGAGCTGGGTGTTGTCCGGGGCTGCCCTTGCATTGTCTGTCCAACGCATCATTTTCGGTCCTTTCTTTCGCTAAGCGAACCTGGCTGTTCGATCCCCCCGGTCTCAACCCCACGTGCTCTCTCGCATGCCTGTTGGCCTTGTCTTGCAAGTCCCTGAGGCCGCCTGTGTCAAGGATGCGCTTCTTGGCCCCGGCTGCTTCTTCCTACCGCGGACGGCTCGAGCGTGGAAGTTCAAGGCCAAAGCAGCGCAATTTCACCATCCTGCCACGCAAGGTGTTTCTGTCGTTGTCGATCCTCTCTCTAACCTCTTCTCTTCGACTACATATGGGCAAACTGAGTGTCACATCATCCTTGACTTGGAGGAACCGCCGCGGATGTTGCGCGACAGCACTGGGTGTTTTTGCTAGTGCTCCTCTCAGGAGTTCGATGCATTCGTGACTTGGTCATCGTGCGCTTGCCGCCGCGCTCTGCTTTTGACGGCGGCTCACCTCAGTACATGCAAGACGAGTATGCTTGCCTAGAAGCTATTCAGCAGCAAACGCTTGCAGAGCTCGACGCCATCTTGGCTGCTGAGGGTTTACAAGACGTGCACGCCGCCGTCGCTGCGCCCTTGCTGTCCAGACTCGCCGCGCTTCTGCAGCAAACTTGCAGCCTTCCCAAGCGCCGGCGAAGAGCTTGATGATTCTTGGTCGCAGCCTCGGTCCACTTTGCCAGCCTGCTGCGTAACCTAGCGCTCTTGATTGTTCTCGTGTTCCAAGCTTGAACTTTGCCTTTGCCACGCCAACTCGGGTTACGTGCTCTCGTAACCATGCAGAACAGATCCATGTCAGCAAGCGCGCAAGCGAGCTTCTTAGTTTCCAGCCGTACACTGCCTCTGCTCTGACGTTGCTCGCCCAATTCAGCTCTTCGGTTGCTACTTGCCAACCTGACAGCGCAGCAACTCATGCAGCCTGTTCTGCTCTGCAGCCTCGCCTTGCTCAAGCTTGCAACTCCGAGCTACTTCTTTTCTGTCCATGGCGCCGCCTAAGGTCCCGTCAACTACAGGTCCGAAGGCGCAGCTGCCTCCCATACAGCTGGTGCCGCGCCTATTCCTGCCCCGCCTGCTTCGGAGCAACCCCTGGCATCCGTGAAGTCCAAGACTCAAGCTTTGCCGTTTTCTCCCCGCCAGCGCAGGACTTCGACCACTTTGTCTTCGGAAAGTTTCAGGGGGAAAGAACGGCGCTGGTGATGAAGTTCCGTGAGAACTTTGATGCGTACAAGCCGCTAAGGACCCTGCCAACAGTGACATTCCGAAGACATTAAATGATTTGACCAGCTTCGGTGCGTTGCTCCGCTGCACGAACTGCGCTATTGCAAGGTGCTCTACGTTGATGGATTCATCTCCTTGCCAGCTACTTCAAGCACACCATGCTCCGGAAGGATTTGATGCGCAAGCCGTTTGCCATTCACATCCTCAACGGCACGCCTTACAACTTACAAGTGTGCTTTGCCTGCTGACCGCCCCATGGAGATCATTGCCAAGCCTGTGACGTTGCCCTTCCACGTCCTCCAACTCACTGCTCCATCCAGGAGTCCAGCCATTTGTCATGTCCATCTCCGTATTGTCAGGCCTGTACATGGACGAGATCATTGGTGTTGTTGCAGAGGAGAATAGGACGAGAGGCAAGAATGAGCGCCTTCTCTGGTGAATGTCGTCTTCTGGTTGCTTCCTGGCTTCTTCTTCTGCCTGCTGTTCTTCTCACCCGTTCCCTTGCAGCGCTGGCTCCAAACCGTGTCTGCGACCGCATCATTCCAGCGTGCGCATGGCTTTATGCGCCTCATCCGTTTCAACCGCCGCTGCTGCCGTGGCAGCTTATTCGGTTCTTGCGTCTCCCTCTTCTGCTTCGGTTTGATGCTTGCCAGCCAAGGTCGCCAGTCACCTGGAACGAGTGGCAGGCCCTGCTGGCTACAGAGGCGTGCTCAACCAGTTTGCGAACAGGCATGCACTCTCTGTACGAGCTCCCAATGACAAGTCAGTTTGGGTGTGATTGGCGCAGCCAGCTACAAAGCAATCCAGCTTTGAGTGTGCAAGAGTGTCTGCAACTGTGTTGGATTTCTCAGCTACAACAACCGCCATCTTGGAATGCGTGGCAGCAGCTTGTCAGTCGCCACGCACAAGCAAAAGCTGCAAAGCAGCGTTGCTGAGTGTTTCGACTTTTCAGGCCACTCTCAAGCGCCAGTTTCCGGTTCCAGACTCTACCGCCTCGCCAGCTCCAACGCTCCAAGAATCTCAGCACCCTCTGTCCTGGAACCAATGCGAATGAGTTCCCTCCCTGTGAACGTTCCACTTGGCTGACCGCGTCTGCTTCCAAAGCCACTGCCAAGTTCGGAGCTGACTGGCGAAGCCTCCTGCAATCCGCGAAGCCTTCGTCGCCTTCAAAGCCAAAAGGATGGCGATGCCAAAGGCTTCTCTGCGTCGAATCTCGCGTTGCCCACTTAAACAGCCTGGAGTCTTGAACAGCCGTCTGGACGTTTCTGTTGCCGCTTCGAAGGAGCCGATTGCGCGTCGCATGCTTCAAGAAACCAAAGCGATTTCCAATGCTGCCCGGCTGCGGGTTCTGGAGCGCAAGAAGCGCCGTCGCGTTTCCGCGTCCCTTGCCATTTTGAAGCCGCTGCGTGCGTCAAAACTGTGCCTGCCCAAGGCTGGCTGACGTGTCTCCAAGCATGCCACTTGATCTTCTGTACTTCGCTCCTGCTCCTGCTGCGGGAAAAACATACCCTGTGCAACGTCCCATGTTTCTGCTAGCCCACCATGTCAATTTCGCTCGTTGTGTGTTTCTCGAGGGCACCAGCGCCCCTCGATGCAACTGGGCGCGGCATTCTTTCTTGGTGGACCCCAAAATATGCGCAACGGTTTTTCTTTTGAGTTCCCGTGAAAACCGCCAACAGGGGAGGTGCCAACTCCCAGAAAAGCAGACCCGTTTAGAAGCCTGACGTCGAGTGGAAGCAAATTGATCGCAGGCGTGGGAATGGAGCCGGCGGTTGGCCTGCCTTTGGGCGTGAACGAGTGCCACGCGGCCGACGGGGCGTGGAATGTTGCGAAACCGAACAAGTGTATCCATGCAGAATTCAATCCATGTATTTGGACCCGGGTAAAAACTGCGTAAACAAGCAGAATTCTGCTTCTGGAAAAATGTTTGGGTCCAGGTACCTGGTTTTCTCATGTTTTCTCAGTATCCAGCTTGCCACCCTTAAGTTGACGCTTGTGAAAGAAAAGAGTCTTTGCAATGCCAAATCTTTCTGAGTCCTGTGACAGCAGCTTCAAGAGGCCATTTGAACCGCTACAGGGGGTTGTCAAACCAGAGCGAGTACGAGTTGCATGGGTTTTCAGCAGTCCAGCATGAGCTTTTGACCCTGAATCTGCAGCGTACGCTGACAGCGATTGAACCCCAAGGATTTCGACCAACTGTTGCAATGGGACATATCAGGAACTCCACTTTAACAGAAACTCGAGACATTCAACGTTCTTTTGTTAGCTCGGGGTTACACCGCCCAGTTTGGAAGCAAGGCGCAACAAAGCAGGCCGGCTTCCTGTTCTTCCTTGTTAGCAGCCCTCTATGTCCATATTTCAATTTTGGAGACTCCCCACACAGCTGTTCGAATACTGAGGCTTGTGCCTACTACGCACTTCCCGAAAGATTGCGGATGAACAATGCACTCTCTTCTTACTCCTAGGGCCATCTTTGACTCAAGAGACCTCACACACACCTCTCCAAAAAATGAAGCTTTTACTCGATACGCCCTTCCCAAAGAATTAAAGATGAACAATGCGCTTTGTTCATTCTTAATCCCAAGACCATGTTTGATTCAACAAGCCCACACGCCAGTTCAATCACTGAAGCTTTTTACCCACGACGCACCACTTCCCAAAAGTTTAAACATGAACAATGCGCTTTGTTCATTCTTAATCCCAAGACCATGTTTGATTCAACAGGCCCACACGCCTGTTCAATCACTGAATATTTTTACCCACGACGCACTTCCCAAAAGATTGAAAATGAACTATGTGTTTTGCTTATTCTTACTCCCAAGACCATGTTTGATTCTACAAGCCCACACGCCTGTTCAATTACTGAGCCTTTTTACCCACGACGCACTTCCCAAAAGATTGAAGATGAACTATGTGTTTTGTTCATTCTTAATCCTCCCAGGGCCATTGCTGATTCGAGAGACCCCTCGCACCTGTTAAGACTCTGACGCTTTTACCCGCTACGCGCGTTATCCACTACGCGCTTCCCAAAAGATTGAAGATGAACGATGCACCTTGTTCCTTCTTAATCCCCGGCCATGTTTGACTCAAGAGACCCCACACACCTATTGACACACTGAAGCTTTTACGCACTACGGACTTTCCAAACGATTTACACAAAAACGAAGAAAAACATGAACAAAGCGCTTTGTCCTTTCTTAATCTCAAGACCATGATTGATTCAACAAGCCCACACGCCTGTTCAATCACTGAAGCTTTTTACCCACTACGCGCTTCCCAAAAGATTACTGTAAAGATGAACAGTGCGCTTTTCTTATTCCATGGAGACGCCGCACACCTGTTCAAACACTGAAGCTTTTACCCACCGCGCGCCTCCCAAAGGATTTAATCAAACAGTGCGTAGTGGGTAGAAGCTTCAGTGTGTGAATAGGTGTGTGGGGTCGCTTGAGTCAAACATGGCCTGGAGTTTAAGAATGAACAAAGCGCATTGTTCATCTTTAATCCTTTGGTATGGGCGCAGCGGGTAAAAAGCTTCAGTGATTGAACAGGCGTGTGGGCTTGTTGAACCCAAAATGGCCTTGAGATTAAGAATGAACAAAAGGCATTGTTCATCTTTAATCTTTCGCGAAGTTCGTAGTAAGAAAAAACACTTCAGTGTGTGAAGAGGTGTGTGGGGTCTCTTAAGTCAAACATGGCCTTGGGATTAAGAAGGAAAAAGGTGCATCGTTCATCTTTAATCTTTTGGGAAGTGCGTAGTGGGTAGAAAGCTTCAGTGATTAAACAGGCGTGTGGGCTTGTTGAACCAAACCTGGTCTTGGGATTAAGAATGAACAAAGAGCATTGTTCATGTGTACAGTAATCTTTTGGGTAGCGCATAGTGGGTAAAAAGCTTGAGTGATTGAACATTCGTGTGGGCTTGTTAAATCTAAATTGTCTTGAGATTAAGAATGAACAAAACGTATTGTTCATGTTTAACCTTTTGGGAAGTTCGTAGTAAGAAAACAGCTTCAGTATGTGAAGAGGTGTGTGGAGTCTCTTGAGTCAAACATGGCCTTCGGATTAAGACTCGACAAAGCGCATTGTTCATCTTTAATCCTTTGGGAAGGGCGTAGCTGGGAATAATAATGAACAAAGCGCATTGCTCATGTTTAAGCTATTGGGAAGCACGCAGTGGGTAAAAGAATCAAGTGTGTGAATAGGTGTGTGAGGTCTCCTGAGTCCAAGATTAAGAAGGAACAAGGTGCATCGTTCATTTTGAATGTTGTTGGAAGTGCGTAGTGGGTAAAGGGCTTCAGTGATTGAATAGGCGTGTGGGCTTGTTGAACCAAACATGGCCTGGAGATTAAGAATGAACGAAGCGCATTGTTCATCTTTAAACTTTTGGGAAGCGCGTAGTGGGTAAAAAGCTTCAGTGATTGAACGGGCGCGTGGGCTTGTTGAATCAAACATGGCGTGGGGATTAAGAATGAACAACGGGTATTGTTCATCTTTAATCTTTTGGAAAGTGCGTAGTGAGTAAAAGCTTCAATGTGTGAATAGGTGTGTGGGGTCTCTTGAGTCAAACATGGCCTGGGATTCAGAATGAACAAAGCGCATTGTTCATCTTTAGTCTTTTGGCAAGCACGTAGTGGGTGAAAGGCTTCAGTGCTTGATCAGGCGCACGGCGTCTCTGGAACCAAACATGGCCTGGGATTTAGAATGAACAAAGAGCATTGTTCATCTTTAATCCTTTGGAGGCACGCAGTGGGTAAAAGCTTCAGTGCTTGAACAGGTGTGCGGCGTCTCTGGAACCAAACATGGCCTTGGACTAAGAATGAATAAAACACATCGTTGGTGTGTATACTTTTGGGAAGCGCGTAGTGGGTGAAAAGCTTCAGTGATTGAACAGGCGTGCGGGCTTGTTGAATCAATCATGGTCTTGGTATTAAGAATGAACAAAGCGCATTGTTCATCTATAACCTTTTGGAACGTGCGTAGTGAGTAAAAACTTCAATGTGTGAATAGGTGTGTGGGGTCTCTTGAGTCACACATGGCCTGGGATTAAGAATGACCAAAGAGCATTGCCCATCTTTAATCTTTTGGGAAGCGCGTAGCGGGTGAAAAGCTTCAGTGATTGAACAGGCGTGTGGGCTTGTTGAATCAAACATGGTCTTGGGAGTAAGAATGAACAAAGCGCATGTTTCATCTTTTGCGCTTTTGGAAGCGCGTAGTGATTAAAGACTTTAGTGATTGAACAGGCGTGTGGGCTTGTTGAATCAAACATTGTCTTGGGATTAAGAATGAACAAAGCGCATTGTTCATCTTTAATCTTATGGGAAGGGCGTAGCGGGTAAAAAGCTTTAGTGATTGAACAGGCGCGTGGGCTTGTTGAATCAATCATGGTCTTGGGATTAAGAATGAACAAAGCGAATTGTTCATCCTCTTTTTTTGGGAAGTGCGTAGTGAGTAAAAACATTAGTGTGTGAATAGGTGTGTGGGGTCTCTTGAGTCAAAGATGGCCCTAGGATTAAGAAGGAACAAGTTGCATCGTTCATCTTTAATCTTTTGGGAAGCGCGTAGTGGGTAAAAAGCTTCAGTGATTGAACAGGCGTCTGGGCTTGTTGAGCCAAACATGGTCTTGGGATTGAGAATGAACAAAGCGCATTGTTCATCTTTAATCTTTTGGAAAGTGCGTAGTGGGTAAAAGCCTCAGTGTGTGAATAGGTGTGTGGGCTCTTGAGTCAACGATTGCCCTAGGATAAAGAAGGAACAAAGCGCATTGTTCATCTTTAATCCTTTGGGAAGGGCGCAGCGGGGAAAAAGCTTCAGTGATTGAACAGGCGTGTGGGCTTGCTGAACCAAACATGGTCTTGGGATTAAGAATGAACAAAGCGCATTGTTCATCTTTAATCCTTTGGTATGGGCGCAGCGGGTAAAAAGCTTCAGTGATTGAACAGGCGTGTGGGCTTGCTGAACCAAACATGGTCTTGGGATTAAGAATGAACAAAGCGCATTGTTCATCTTTAATCTTTTTGGAAGTGCGCAGTGGGTAAAAGCTTCAGTGTGTGAATAGGTGTGTGGGGTCGCTTGAGTCAAACATGGCCTGGAGATTAAGAATGAACAAAGCGCATTGTTCATCTTCAATCCTTTGGGCAGGGCAAAGTTTCAGTGATTGAACAGGCGTGTGGGCTTGTTCAATCAAACATGGTCTTGGGATTAAGAATGAACAAAAGGCATTGTTCATCTTTAATCTTTTGGGAAGTGCGCAGTGGGTAAAAGCTTCAGTGTGTGAATAGGTGTGTGGGGTCTCTTGAGTCAAAGATGGCCCTAGGATGAAGAAGGAACAAGGTGCATCGTTCATCTTGAATCTTTTGGGATGTGCGTAGTGGGGAAGAAGCTGCCGTGTTTGAACAGGCGTGTGGGCTTGTTGAGCCAAACATGGCCTGGAGATTAAGAATGAACAAAGAGCATAATCTCCAGGCCATGTTTGGTTCAACAAGCTGAGCCGCCTGTTCAATCACTGAAGCTTCTTACCCACTACGCACTTCCCAAAAGATTCAAGATGAACGATGCACCTTGTTCCTTCTTATTTCTAGGGCCATCTTTGACTCAAGAAACCCCGAAGCTTTCGCCCACTACGCACTTCCCTAAAGATTAAAGATGAACAAGGCTCTTTGTTCATTCTTAATCCCAAGACCATGTTTGATTCAACAAGCCCACGCGCCTGTTCAATCACTAAAGTATTTAATCACTACGCGCTTCCAAAAGATTAAAGATGAAACATGCGCTTTGTTTATTTTTACTCCCAAGACCATGTTTGATTCAACAAGCCCACACGCCTGTTCAATCACTGGAGCTTTTTATCCGCTACGCGCTTCCCAAAAGATTAACGATGGGCAATGCGCTTTGTTCATTCTTAATCCCAGTTCATGTTTGACTCAAGAGACCCCACACACCTATTCACACATTGAAGCTTTTACTCACTACGCACTTTCCAAAAGATTAAAGATGAACAATGCTCTTTGTTCATTCTTAATCCCAAGACCATGCTTGATTCAACAGTCCCACACGCCTGTTCAATCACTCAAGATTTTTCCCGACTCTGAGCTTCCCAAAAGATTAAAGATGAACAATGCGCTTTGTTCATTCTTATTCCCAAGACCATGTTTGATTCAACAAGCCCACACGCCTATTCAATCACTGAAGCTTTTTACCCGCTACGCCCTTCCCAAAGGATTAAAGATGAACAATGCGCTTTGTCGATTCTTAATTCCAAGGCCATGTTTGACTCAAGAGACCCCACACACCTCTTCACACACTGAAGTTGTTTTCTTACTACAAACTTCCCAAAAGGTTAAACATGAACAATGCGCGTTGTTCATTCTTAATCTCAAGACAATGTTTGATTTAACAAGCCCACAAGAATGTTCAATCACTCAAGCTTTTTACCCACTATGCGCTACCCAAAAGATTACTGTAAACATGAACAATGCTCTTTGTTCATTCTTAATCCCAAGACCATGTTTGGTTCAACAAGCCCACACGCCTGTTCAAACACTGAAGCTTCTTACCCACTACGCACTTCCCAAAAGATTCAAGAGACACGATGCACCTTGTTCCTTCTTAATCCCAGGCCGTGTTTGACTCAAGAGACCCCACACACCTATTTAGACACTGAAGCTTGTACGCACTACGGACTTTCCAAAAGATAAAAACAAAATGAACAATGCGCTTTGTTCATTCATAATCTCAAGACCATGTTTGATTCGACAAGCTGACACGCCTGTTGAATCAGTGAAGCTTTTCACCCGCTACGCCCTTCCCAAAGCATTAAAGATGAACAATGCGCTTTGTTCATTCTTAATCCCTAGGCCATGTTTGATTCAACGAGCCCACACGCCTGTTCAATCACTGAAGCTTTTTACCCACTACGCGCTTTTCAGAAGTTTATCAAGCAATCGTTTTAAGCGACACGGATCTAACCGGATTCGCGCGAGAAAACTGAGAAAACCGAGAAAACGGAGAAAACAAGAAAACTCCGTTGCTGGCTCTCGTGGCTGGCGCCTTTTTCCTTGAAGCTTGCGCATTTTCACCGTTCTCCCATGCTTGCGTTTCGTGTTTGCTTGCGGTTTCGCGGTTTTCACGATTTTCGGGTTTTCGCAGTTTTTGCAGTTTTGCGGTTTTCGCGTTTTCGCGGTTTTTGCGTTTTCGCGGTTTTCGCGTTTTCGCGGTTTTCGGGGTTTTCGCGTATTCGCGGTTTTCGCGATGTTCGCAGGTGTTCGCTGCAAGTTTCCGTTGTTAGTATGCTTAATGGCCTTGTGTTTTGAGCCCCAGCGGTCATAGAAATAAGATATAGGTAGGTAGATAGATAGGTGGATAGATAGATACATTAGATTAGACTAGATTAGATTAGATTAGATAGATAAATTGATAGATGCATAGCACAGTAAGATAGGACATCATGGGATAAGATAGGATAAGACAGGACAAGATAGGATACGACAAGATAAGATAGAATACGATAGGTTAAATTAAGGTAAGACAGGACAATGTATGATAAGAATATTATAAGGTAGGCAAGATAGATAAGGTAGATAGTATAGATATGATAGGTGTGATAGTCAAGGTAGATAAGGCATTTAAAATAGATCAGGTCGATAAGATGGAACAAGATAGTGCGATAGATACGATGCGACAGATAGGACAAACAGGAAAGACAGGGTAGATAGGATAGATAGCATAGATAGGTAGGCGTTTAGGTATATAGATAGATAGATAGATAGATGGATAGGTGGATAGATGGATATGTAGATAGATACAGAGGAGAAGATAGATAGATGGATCGATACATAGAATAAGGTAGGATACGCTAGGGTCAGTCGGGAGAATATAGGGTAAGGTAGGATAGGACAGCATAAGGCAGGATATGATAGGATAAAAAGGCTAGCAAAAGATTATGCGCCCTAAATATATATATGTATATATATATATATTTATTGATGTGGATAAATAGATAGAGAGATAGCTGTAATATAGGATAAGGCACGGTAAGATAGGCCAACATGGGGTAAGGTAGGATAAGTTAGAACAAGACATGATAAGATAACATATTATAGGATAAATAACACTAAGGAAGCTAAGACATTATACTATGGAGGTAGGTAAGGGGTAGACAAGGTAGCTAAATTGGATAGACATGATAGATAAGGTAGATAAGGTAGATAAGACATACGATACATCAGATAGATAAGCTAGAAACGATTCACAAGCTACACACAATAGGAAAGCTGGAAAAGGTAGAACAGATAGAATAGGTAGATAGATAGATAGACAGATAGGATCAGATAGGACGATATGAGACAATATATGATAAGATAGGATAAGGCAGGATAAGATATGATGCGATGGGATAAGACAGGGAAAACAGGATGCAGTAAGTTAAGAAAGGTTATTACTGGACAACATATTATGAGAAAAGACAAGGTAGGTAATGTAAATAGGAAGATACGATAGGCACCATAGATAGACAGATAGATAGACCAATAAATATGTAGATAGTTAGGTAGAATTGATAGATAGATAAATGGATAGACAGAATATGGGATGAGTTTGCCGCCTTTTCAAAGGGTTATGTCCCGCGAAAGTTGGCATTGAGGAAACATGTGAAAGTTGGCTTTTGCACGGTTTTCACCGCTTTCATGGGTTTTCGCGTGTTCACAGTTTTCGCGGTTTTCACCGTTTTCGCGGTTTTCGTGGTTTTCGCGTTTTTTGCCGTTTTCGCGGTATTCGCCGTTTTCGCGGTTTTCGTGGTTTTCGCGGTTTTCCTGTTTTCTGCCGTTTTCGCGGTTTTCGCGGTTTTCGCGTTTTCGGTTGCAAAATCCACTTAGCGCACGTCACGAAAAAACTCGCACAGCAAGTTTAAACATGAACAACGCGCTTTGTTCATTCTTAATTTCAAGACCATGTTTGATTCGACAAGCGCACACGCCTGTTTAATCACTGAAGCTTTCTACCGACTACGCACTTCCCAAAAGATTCAAGATGAAGGATGCGCTTTGTTCATTCTTAACCCCAGGCCATTCTTCATTCAACAAGCCCACACGCCTGTTCAAACACTGAAGCTTTTTTGCCGACTGCGCGCTTCCCAGCAGGTTCAAGATGAACGATGCACCTTGTTGCTTCTTACTCCTAGGGCCATCTTTGACTCAAGAGACCCCACACACCTATTCAAGCTATTTTGTTTTTTGCGGACCGCTTCTAGGGGTTGAATCGCCGGCTTGAGTTGCGATTGCACTTTACGCAACGAAGGGAACTATGCAAAACAGCAAGCCGATAAACAAAAGGCGCATCAGGACCAGCAAGCTCATGTGAAGCTATCACTTTTTTGCACCTCAAAGGTACGCACCGTTGGGGATCTCCACAGTCAGCTCTTCAACCTCTCCTCTTGCTCGTGCAGCAGCAGGCAAGCTCTCGACCTTTCGGAATTCAAGAATTCACGAGATTCGCATGGCGTGTTGCAAAAGCTACCCTTTAAACGACGCTTTTTTTGGTTGGGTTCCTCTCTAACCAAACCCCGAAAAGGACCACCCTCAAAAAGCGCAAATCCATGTGGCCATGAACTTTAGCGACGTGAGCATCTCCCCCTTCAGGGATGTCCACTGCTGTGGTGTGCTTACCATTTCGAAGGCGCGCGTCAGACTTGTCCAGCGTCAGTCTTTGGCTCCACGCGAACAATCATGAAAGATGCGAAGACGAAGGGTCGTCCGTGGGCTACCGCTGAAGCGGTTGTGAAAGCTTACTGGCGCCTCAAGCGCCGAGCTCGCAACCGGAGCGAGATCATGGCGCACCAGTGCGTTCAAGCAGTCATCGCTTCCACGAAGCGATCTGTGGCTCCAAAGAAGCCTGCGCTGCTTGCGGCGGGATGTCTGCTTTTTCGAGGCCGTTCTGCTGCCGAGGTGTTGCGAGCACATATCTTGTGCCGCGAAGGCGTGACCAGCGACTCGGTCTACACAGAGCAACAACTTCCTTGGGCCGCGGGAGACGTGCGCTTGGCTGATCTTGTGCCTGTGTTGCACATCCACCCCTGCTTTAAGGTCGCGGCTGCGGACGCCGCTCTCAGCACGGACCCAGTCACACGGGCCACCGCCGGGCTGGTTCAGTGGCTGGACAAGCACAAGAAGAAGCACGACACGCACGAGAAGTTTTGCGCTGTCACCCTGGCCACTGTTGTCGCGCATGCCGGCTTTGCGCAGCATTTACACGCCAGCGTGGCTGCAGGCCTGGGGCTCGCTGAAGCTGTGCGTCAATGGGGCAGACGCCGCTATGCGGCTGGCGCCAAAGCATTCCTTCCACCGGGGCCAGTTCACCGCAATGTGCTCCACAGCAAGATGAACACCCAGTATGTGTTTGCCTTGCTTGCTCGCCTGGACATGGTGACAGAACGATCCGAGGCTACTGTCGAACAGGCGCTGCAAAGCCCGCTCATGCTACCACATGTGTTGTGCGCCCTGCGTCTATTTCAAGTGCCTCTCCACGGCCGAAGCGTGGGGTTGGAGAGTTCGACAAACGTCCATCTCATGCACAAGATCTTTCGAACCCTATTTGCGCAGTCTACGCCCAAGAACCGTGGCCAGTGGCTGGAGGCGGTGTGTGCGAAAACGCGCGACCTGTTTGCCGAAGACCTCAGCTCCACTCGACAAGGAAAGAAGCGCAAGTTTCTGGAAGCGGCTCACGCGGCGCTGACGCCAGCTGCGGCAGCGTGGAACCTGTGCAAAGTTGCTTGTGTTTTGCACGCGTCCCTCGGTGGACGGACGCATGTCCGAGAGGGTCGATGCAACCCGGTCCGTTTGCGACACGGTTTTGCCAAATGCGAAGTTCGCTCGTATGCCAAGAAAACAAGCAAGAAGTGACGGATCTTGCGACCAAGTCGCTCGTGTGACAATAGACGCCACACTGCGAAGACGATTTGCAAATTGCGCGGCGCAGAAAGGGTTTGATGAGGGAGCGCATGGTCAAGTTGCACTGCAGCGCCTTAACCCTTGACTCGCACTTTTGAACCCAACACAGATGAGCTCCGAGCATCTCTTTTTCGGAGACGCGCTCAAAAACAAAGCCTCAGCAAAAGCATCCGCACTTTCACAAGCACCCCCCCCAATAAAATCTCCAACTCAAGTTCTTTTTTTTCAGTTCCTGGTTCCCTTTTGAAGAAAAGCCTCCCCAAAGTTGTCGCTCATTTGACTCCAGGCGCTCGCAGACTGCACTTCCAGAGCTCCGAGATTTGCTGCCAGGCGCCTTCACGCATGAACTACCTGTGTGAAACCAAGTAGGACCACTGCTAATATAGAATTTTCCGAAGACATATTTCTTGAAGTGGTCTGAAACTGAACCAAAAGCAACATTGCGCATTTTGACATTTCTGTTCTTGTATGAAGCAAGGGCCAAGAGAGGTTGCGACCGATGTTAGAATATGTCACAGTAGAGGGACCTGTGCGGAGTGCGGTTTTGCTTCAGGTTTCGTTTTGGCTACATAATGCCACAAAGAGCGCTCTCAAGCAAACAGTCTGTGTTTCTCATCTTGCTCAATTGCTACTTGCGTAACCCCAGTGAAACCCTCCCTCTCTGTTAGCACGCGTTGAGTTTCATGGTTCATGGGGTCCTTGTGTGGGCCCCCAAAAGGGGTCTTCCAAAAGTAATGTGCTCTTTGCTCAAATGATACCTAAAAAGCGCTATTTAAACTCTTCTTGCCATATAAATGGACATTGCTCAAATAGTGACTAAAAAGGTAGATTTGCTACATTTTTTCTCTGGGCACATGAACCCACTTCATGTTCAAGGTCAGCAGCTTATCATCTGGGGCAAGGGACAATTGGCATGATGACCCAAATATTACTCGAATACTCCAAAACACATCCTAATTTGAAGATTTTGGTCGAATCTGCTCAAATGCTCCTCAAATGCTGCTCAAATACTCCAAAACACATCCTAATTTGAAGGTTTTGGTCGAATCTGCTCAAATGCTGCTCAAATGCTAAATTTGAAGATGTTGGTCGAATCTGCTCAAATGCTACTCAAATGCTACTCAAATGCTATTCAAATGCTACTCAAATGCTACTCAAATGCTACTCAAATGCTATTCAAATGCTACTCAAATGCTACTCAAATACTCCAAAATACATCCTAATTTGAAGGTGTTGCCCAAATTCCACGAAAAACCTTTAAATTAGGTGTCCCAGTATACCAACCCCCCCTCAATCATAGGATCCAGTCATGGGTTCCCAATGTTTACCCTCCCTCACTCAATGTGCAGTTTTACTGCTTTTAAGCGCTTATCTGTTGGGGGACCCCTCTTGCGGTTCGGGAAAGCGACAGCAGCGTGGCTGAAAGATGCGCTGATCGATCGGCTTCCGGCTCTGAACTGTCAAGAAAATATCAGCATGGACGTTGCTTCCCTGTTTGAATCTTGCAGCGAACCCAGTGTCCTTTCGTTTCCCTCCCATGATAGTGCAGGTTCCATGTTCTTCTTGGTCACTTTCAGAAATGGCTTAATGAAAACCATGCGAAGCCGAGGAAAAACATATTCGGTGTTCGTCGGCGAGCCTGCGTCAAGAACTTTTTGGTTGTGGTAGCTGACTGAAATCTTCAAGCTTACGTTCCTTTGTTTGCCTGGGACACTTTGCAACCGATCACAAAACAGCAAACTTGCTGACAACGCTAGCGCTTCACAACGACGACACGTTCAAGTCACGTTGGGCAGAAAACTTCACTGGGCCCCTTCGAAGGTTCGAGGAGCTCGTCGGCAGTGCTCAGGCGAGTTCGGTCGTGATCCGTAGCCCTGCCAACCCGGACTGTTTGCTCTTGCACCATCTTGCGAACACAATCTACGGGATACATGTTAACAAGCAACTTGCTTATAGCCCTCTGCCGCCAACAGACTCGTTGCACCAGGGTCGTAAGGGTGCTTTGAGCTTGGCTGAGTCCGGTTGTCACCAGCCGGTCTTTGGGAACGGCTTGACAGCATGCTTGCTTTTGCTCCTAAGCAATGCGCCTCGAGCTGCTTCAAAAAGACTCGATGAGCTCGTTCTTTGAAGAATAGAGCAATCCGCTGAGCAAGAGCATCGGCAAAAAAACTCATTGTGGCCGAAAGCCTACCATGCTGTAGCAAGCCCCTTGAAGTGCTGAAGCTGTTTTTGAACCAGGTGTTGTATTACGTTGGGCGCAAGTATGACACCCTTCGGAAACGACTCAAACTATTTCAAAAGCGTGTCTAGCACTAACTTTGGGGCTGCATGTTGTGCATCCTTAAATCCCCAGAGCTCGGAGTTTTAAGCGGTAAGCCCTGTGTTGTACGATCAGATTGCCCTACAACAATCACAAGCGCAGCGACGTGCGATGAGTGTGGAGGCTAGAACTCGCCGCAGATATGCCGATGCCCATACGCTAGCTTTCGTTCCCTGCTTCTCAAGAGCAATGCCTAGCCCGCGTCGGGTAAGAAGCTGCTCGACGTCTACCAGGCAGCTGCGGAAAATGAGTTGGGCTTAAGAATTTCTACCTGGTGTGATTGGGATGATGGTTGCGCATACCAGTTGGTGGGAGGGAAAATCTGAGCGTTTCTACCTGGTGTGGGAAGGATCGTGTTTTTTGCGCACCAATCTTGGTGGGGACACTGGGACCTTTGGCCTTATCACACTTGAAGCCAGCTGGGAAGCCAACCAGTTGGGAGGCCTGAGCTTGCAACATTTCGAGCTTCAGGAAGCACAGCAACTCTCGCAGTAGTTACCGTGAAATGAACGTAGCGCAACATGACACAACACAACACAAGGCAACGCGTCACACCGCACCACCACACCACACGCACCCACTCCATGGCCCAACACCCGCGCTACAGTTTGCCCTGTGTGGATTCTCGCGTGCCAGGCCGAGTGACGGAGGCAACGGCCCTGGAGGTTGGGAAGGGTCAGAAACGGGGTGAGAGCGGCGAGTCGTCAAGTCAATGAAGAGCGTTGGTTGGAGATGCTTGGTGGGACCAAGCTGCTTTGACTGGAGCGAGGTCATCCTGGGCGTTTCTCTGAGGAGTCTTTTGCTTGCACATCGACCTTTCTTTGGGTCGCGTGGTGCTGGCGGATTTCTGAGGGGGGGGACTGGCTTGCTTTTCCAGCGTAAAAATCGGTGGGCTTCAAACCACCCGTGGATTATTTCCGGGGGTTTCAAGAACAGCCTATCAAGATTATCATGCATGCTCTCATTTGCGTAAAGCCAGTCGTTTGCACGTACGAGAACTCCGCAAAGAAAGCGCCTGGCTTGTTCGCATCCTAGGGGTGCAATGTCCAAGCCCTCTGAAACACGGCCTTGGAAGCTCTTGGAGCCCCAGTGCGAAAGGGGTCCGCCCAAAGGCAGGTGCCTGTCAATCCTGAAAGTCTTGGGTGCCGAGCTACCGAAAGCTTAAACATGTGCTTTGTGTCGGTTCGCAAACGCCTTCGATGCAGCTGTCAAGCGCTAGACACAGGTGCCCCCAGCATGTTGCCTGCTTGCCCAGCTACGTAGACTGTCCTGGCAACTGTGAGTGTGGCTTTCGCTTTGGCACGCAAGAGGGAGAAGCCTTCATAAAGGCAGTGACTTGCGAACCCCTCCAGGCCCTTTGTATAGCGAGAGTAAGGACACCTGAAAAGCCGGACGGCTCCTTGCCAGTAGCTTTGATCCCAGCGCTCAGCGCTGCAACGCGCTCCCGACTCGTATGGCTGTAACATGTTTGCAAAACACTCTGGAGGAACTAATTTTGAGGACCCTTGGCATTTTTATTTGAATCGTGCGAAAGATGATGCTTTGAGATCCAATGACCCAGTCAGGGTCTTGAAAATACATTGCTTTTGCATGGGAGATCGCCGGTTTTGGAATGTGTTTCCGCAATTTCCGCCACGGCCACATCCGTACTTTCGCTTCGGCCGACGCATCAGCCCTGGCCGAAAGGTTGAAAGAACATCCTCAATCCATTAACGGCAGTTAAATGTTGTGTGAGCAAAGCTCGTTTAGCTTTTCAGCCCCGAAAGGATTTTTTTTTCCAGCCCAGTTACCTAACCGGAGCGGAATCGGCGGTCCAGAGGGCAAATCGCAAAGCGAGGACCTAACCACTGAGATGTTGGAGACACGATTTGAGCCAACAGGTTGGAGAGTGCAGGCGGTAGGCTTGTTTTATCTTGAAAAAAGCGGTTTAAGGTTTGCGGAATCTCGGCATGCATGTGGAGCAGTTGCTGCAGACGTTGGCGCAAATGGACCAAGCTGCCATCGAGCAGGCCGGATTTGGGGACAAGTAATGGTTGTTGGGGTTCCCGTATTCGGGGCTATTCGCTCGCGAGTGGGGGTCCATTTAGGGACCGGAGGGAGGTGTCAATTTGCACTAAGCCCAAATCTCCCTCCCTCACTCCCTCCCTCACTCACGCGCTCGCTCACTCCTTCACTCAATCACTCCCTCCCTCGCTCACTCCTTCACTCAATCACTCACTCGCTCGCTCACTCCTTCACTCAATCACTCACTCGCTCGCTCACTCCTTCAATCAATCACTCACTCGCTCGCTCACTCCTTAACTCAATCACTCACTCGCTCGCTCA